GGCCTTGGATGAAGCACAGAAGAATGAAAAAAGAAGCTCCTAAGAACCGCGCGGAAGCAGTTAGAGTATGTGTGTTTCTTCTTCTTCTTCTTCTTCTTCTTCTTGTTGTTTGTTGTTGTTGTTGTTGTTGTTGTCGTCGTCGTCGTCGTTTTGCTTGTGGTTGTTCTTGTCGACAGTGTTTTGTTGATCTTTCTGTGACTAAAAGCTGTCGTCCATTTTAGACAGGGAGATGAGAGCTGATTTTTTACACTGTTAACAGGTTAGCTGTCATTCAACGTGGGTTGACTCTGTTGACTCTGTTGATTGTTGAGTTTCTTTTCTAGATGTTTTCTATGGAGCTGAAAGTTTTCGGACGGACAGATCCATGAGCAATGATTTCTCTTAAAATACCGCGCTTCTTTAGAATAAAATAAAAATAAGCTTATCTTATATATATAGTCCTCTTGAACCTAAAACCAATTGCGATATCTCTGCCAGAAACAGGGTATGTACAAAATATGCATGCGCAGGTGTATATTGGTATGGAATAGTGAACCCTAAAAAGAAAGGGGAAGGAAAGGAAAGAAGAAAGAACAATGATCTTCAGGAATCGAGGAAGAAGAGATCTGAGAAGAGAGAGGGGTGATATATGTATGCAATGCAATGCAAAGTGAAGACCAATGCAAAGACTGCCCGACTAACGGTGAATCAGCTTTGAACTCCCCCTGCCAGCCTGCAAGGAAGAAACTCAGCAATCCAGCGTCTTCTTTATTTAATCCTGCTTCTCCCCCTCAACCACAAGCACGCCCCCATTCCCATTTGAGCCATCATTACTATTGCTTCTCGAGCTCTTAACCTCACCAGGCGCGGTTACCTCTTGATCTGCAGAACTGAAACCATACTTACTGCTCGTTCATCTGCTTAATCTCTTCAGCGGAGAGATATGGCAGCTGCTTGGCCGCGGTAGCGTAGCTGATATTCTCCGGGAATCCCTTTGCGAAGATAATGCCGATCTCCTCCAGGCTGCGGTGGGGCTGTCTCTGGATAGAAAAAGTAGATGACGGGAAAGAAGCAGGCGTTGACACACGCGAAGAAGAGGTAGGTGTCCCAGCCAATCCCGTCAAGCATGACGGGGACGACCATGACCAATGACAAAGTTGAACAGCCAGTTGGAGCAGGTGGAGAGGGCATTGTCCTTGGCGCGGATTTTGATGGGGGAGATCTCAGCTGGGTACAGCAATGGTAGCGGCAGCCAAGAGGGCCCGAAACTGGCGATGTAGATGAAGAGACCGACCGCGGCGCCGATGGCAGCCTGTCGCGTGCCCGGTATGAGACATGCGAAGGTGATCACCATAGACAAGCACTAGCCGGCCGTTCTGATCAAGAAGAGCTTGCGGCGGCCCACTCGTTCAATCAGGAGCCAGGATGAAGTTGCAAAGATGGAGTAGACGATCATGTTGACACCGCCGAGGAGCATGGCCATGAAATCAGCTCTGCGGATGATGGAGGTCTTGAACAGGATTGGGAAATAGTAGATGACAGCGTTGCAACCGCCCACCTTCAATACAGATCAAGAGACCTCGGTTGGACGTTCGCGAGCACTCTACCTAGTACGTTGGAATTGTGGAGGTGTTGACACCGTTGCCAATGCCGGTAACGATTCGCCCAATGATAAATTGGGCATATGCCCCATGGCCTGGAATAACGGCGACCTGGATAATGACACCAATGATCATGATAAATGCGCCTAACATAATGGCTCTGCGACGGCTCAGAATATCGCCTGACCAAATGATAGCCATTGCACCTCCCAGACAACCTATGCCCACCCAACATGGGAATGTTAGAAACTCTCTTCCGCTACGTGCAGAAAAAAGGGGCTAAATGTATCATTTGACTGGAAAATTACCAACTTCATAGATAGCAGGTACGAAACCCTGTTGCGTCGCATTATCACGGGTTTGGGGGAATGCATCATTGAATGGTTTGGCTAATAATGCCTGACATGATACCCTCTGTTGAAGGGTTCATTATCTGCCCGAAACATCTGCTACTGCCATAGCTTTCCCGAAACAAAGGCCTCTAAAGGGACTACTTACGATCATATCCGAAAAGCAAGAAACCAGTCGTCGCCACTGTCGAAATGGCAAGTGACAATTTGTGGCCTGTCAAGCCAGCGAATCTTGGGGCGCCGGGGTCGCTCATTTTTACTTTTCCCCTGGAGCTGAGCGGGGAGAGAGTACTTGGGGATCCGGGGCTTTCTCCGCTACTTCGATATGTACAGCGGAAGAGTGGATGCAGGTATGTATGGAGGAGAACCAGTAATATAAAAATCTAAAATCTAGATTCACAGAATCTAGATGCCAAGAACAGTTGACAGCGGAAAATGCTCAGCTACCCCGGGAATAATCTCACGAACTTGGACAGCAAGGTAAAGAACGAATTAACATGGAATTTCGAATTGATGTAAATGACACATCCCACAGCGACGACGACCGTAAAAGGAAAGAAATTATGAAAGGAACAGAGAAAAAAATCAGTAATAAAGGAGGGGAAAAAAGAAAAAGAGAAAGCTAGGATTGGCCTCAGCTTTTAAAACATGCATCTGTCGCCGATTTCCATATGAGATGCGAATAACTCCATGATGATTACAATTCTGGGAGCATGGAAGCACGGTGTACAGTAGGGTGGATGTTTTGTCACAGCTGAATGCTTTGATGGGGTGGAAGGGGGGTTTGTAGGGGTCAGAATTGTGGGCAGTGATATATCCCACCCCACCACACATTGAAATCGCTGGCTGTATTAGGATGCTTGCTTAATGATATGTGGCATGACTAGGACGGGTGAAGGTAAAAAAACTGAACATGATGAAGAAATTGGGAATATGCAGGCGCATATTTTCTCGGCTGTCGTAGTAACGCATGTATCCAGCCGCCGATATCAGATCGGCAAACTGCCATTAAGGAACATTTTGTTGATCGTTAGTAAGAGCAGGAAAGTTGCCAACAAATATCAATCATCTAGGACTACCGGAATATGCGGCAGTTGAGGTGCGAGTCAGCGATATTAGTTGGCATCGCGCACTGCATCGTCAGTAAAATATTCGCGAAGCAGTCTCTCTCCATATCCCACTTTTTCATCCCCAATTTACTGGGTAGTCCGTTGGGGCTGGTAACAAGAGGATCTGTGGATTGTGATCATGCATTTAAGTGCGTATGGGCGGAGCATCACGGCTAACTGACTGGCACCAGGATTGACAACCTGCGACGGGTGATATATTGATATGTTGATGCTGAGTGCAAGCTCTGATGCCAAAGTCACCGGCTGCAAATTAGCTGTAGATCGGAACTGCGCTCCAAAGCCTCCATCCAAGCCCGCTTCGGCTAGCTCTGCCATTGTTAAGCTTTCCTATGAGGACGTGGCTGATATCGTTATCAGAATGTTCCTTATAAAAAAGAAATTGTTACTTTTATTTAGGGTTGCTGGGTTGTCCCTAGATTTTACCATAATAAACTCTTTGAGCTTGTTTTAAGAGAGGATTTTATACCGACCAACTCAACCGAGTTCTTTTGTCGTATGTGTATTTTCCTCTGGCAAACTAATAAGTTTTGTCCAATATTGTCGAAAAAGAAGGAAAGCAAAGGACTCACGACTCCAACCCTCTTCCATAAGCTAGCAAAACTCTTTCCTATCCCCCATTCGGCCCTCTCTACCCCGAGGCCCTCCAGCACAGAGCCAATAACTATATATATATATATATATATATATATATATATTTGATTTCCCGATCGGCGAGCTGACGGGTCATCACAGCTCCGCCGGAGTCGCTTATCAATATCTAAGTCCGCTATAAATCCTTGATATCAATCTTCTGATTGGCAGTCTAAGACTGACGAAAGGGAGAAAACTGGAGACGAACCGAGCTGGATTCTGGAATGGAAACCCAACTGCGTAGAACGGTAGAAATTAGAACTTGAATTTAAATTAGTTATAACGGTGGATAAACTTTGTGTTGATTAGATGCAATCCGCTGCCCCACCCCGAAAGTCTTTTTCTTGTCAGGGATAAATGTAACATTTGTAGGAAACGTGGAGTAACTGAAAAGTTTGCAAGCCGGGTAAGTATCCTTTCTGAGAATCGTATGTTTTATGTAGATGTAGGCTCTGAATAGGCAAGTTTGCCGTGCACACATCCTTCGCCATTTGAGGGTCCGAAAGTTGGGCGGTTGTTGCAGTTTGAAATGGAGAGAATATCTGTCGACAATGTAGGACCAAAGATAGGTGTCGAGTGTCGAGCCAGCGAGTCTGTCAAGGGGATGTTAGCTATTTCAAAAGATATATCTCGATTTGTAGTTCAAAACTGGGAATTCTCCAAGTGTTCCTGAAGGATGGCTCCGAGCCCTGGCGATTCCGTGATATGTATCCGTGATATCTATGTATGTATGTACAGGAACCCCATCCCATTTTCCCATGGTTGGTCGGAGATCTAGTAGAGTTCGCTCGCGGATTGGCTCGTAGAGCAAAGGGACGACTCTTGATATAAGTTTCCCGAGATATAGTTCTGCTATATTTCTGTCATGGGGTATAGAGATTCTTCTCGTCTGATGGAAATTGATCCGCCATCCGGTTATCCATTCTCCATAATACTGGTACATGCTGATAAGTATTGTAGCTGTAGAATATGCAAAGAGTACTCTTGTATGTCATATCTCAGAGATTCCTTATTAGGAAACCAAGCAGTGAGGCTGTCAGTCACGTGTGCTAGCTTGCTTAGTCATGGTTACATAAGGTCTCGCCAAACGCGTTTGGACGCGTCGGGCGACGGAGGTGGGTGAGGATGAAATTGCCATCACATATCGCAACACCGGATATTGAACGATTATTTTATGTTTGATTTGTAGACACACAGACATGTCGGACGACCAAATTCTACACAATACCCTCACGGAAAATGAGGAACAGCAGGCCTCATCGACCCTACGAGCAGAATTGAAGGAATGGGAGCGCTCCTTCGCCTCTGCAAATGGCGGCCGCAAACCCGGGAGAGATGATATCAAAAATAATACTGCCATTTGTACGGAAAGACAATAACCCCGTGTTTATTTCTTCTTCTCCTATTTCGCACCGAAAAGAAAATTAAAACAAATAGAATAAACCGGCCGCTAACCCATCGAACTGAATTTGCTGCTTCATCTATGCATGTTTTAGCTACCAAATACAAACTCTACTCCCGCCTACGCGCCCAGTCGTCGCAGGCCAGCGCCCGCTCTCCAGTTCCAGCGGAGGAAGTATCACAGCAGAGGAAACGCAAACGCCCCTCAGACACACAGGAAGATATAAGCGGGCCACCACCACCACAATTCTGCTCAACACCCCGAAAACCCCCCAAGCAAATCCCCGCCACACCCTGTAGGGGTGAACTATTAACATCAGCAACCACACCGCTTCCTGCAAACGCCCACCCATCGCAACTAGACCCCTACGATTCCCCATCGACATTACGTAGACTCTTCAGCCCCAGCTACCATAACAATCCCCACGAGTATCCCCACTCATCCTCATCTCCCTTACCCCTCCGCGCAGCCATTGGACCTACGCCGCAGCGTGATGGTAAGGCTCTGGGTCTATTTGACCTCCTCTCTGCATCTGGAGGTAGCCATCGCAGTAGAGACAGTGCTACTGCTGCGACGCCGTCCTCGAAACAGCGAAGGGGCTTTAATAGTCACCGGGGTGATAAGGATGACATGCAGACTCCTTCGCGGCGGAAGGGAGGCCGAGCCAATGCGGGAAATCGGGTTGACAAGGATGGAGAGAAAGATTATGAAAACTTCTTCGCCAACACACGCACCCCAGCGTCATCTGCTAAGAAGTTCTACCTGGCCAACTTCTTCGCGACGCCGCCTGCGTATCGGTATTCGACTGTCATCGATGGCAGAACAAGTAGTCATGATGACGACAGTAATCAACAGGCAGGTAACAATGACACAGTGAATGAAAAAAGAGGTTCAGCGTCAAACGATCCATTAGGCTCAGATACGCCTTCTTTCCTCCGCCGACGGAACTTATTCTCGTCATCGTCAAGGCCAAACTATCAACAACATGCACGCGTGGCCAGTGGGGCTAGCCTGCACGATCTAAGCCCCATTGCGGTTCGCATGCCGCAGAAACTTGTCGGGAAGGGGCTAAGTACTATCGTTCAGGGGTTACGGGATATTCAGGAGGAGAGGCTGGATGAGGAGTTGGATGTTTTGAGAGAGATAGAGGCGGAGGCGGCGCGAGAGGATGATATTATTATTAATGATAGTCAGGTTCCCGTCCATGATGATAGAGAGGGAAATACAACAACGCGACAATGGAAGAAGAAAGGACAGAAACGAACGACGCGACGGGTTATCATGAGGCCAGTCCGTGCGAAGGTGAAAGCAACACCGGAGTGGCCCGTTACTGTGATTGATGACGGTGACAATGAAGGTGGAAATGGAGGAAGCGAAGATGAGCTGGCGGCTATTTCAGAAACCCAGCCGCAACCTCAACTTCAACCTCCTGGTGCGAACAAGGAAAATGAAAATGAAAGTGAAGTAGCACGTGGTCGCCGTGGTGGATTATTCTCGGCATCTGACAAAGATAATTATGCCGACAACAATATCTCAGAACTCAACCATAACAACCCATATTCTGATCTAGATTCGGACTCAAACTACGAAGACGATACTACGGCCCCGGCATCACCATCTCACTCTAAGGGCCGGGCGGAGGCGAAGACGCAGAAGTTTGTTCTTAAGAGTACTACCAATGCCAATGGGGCGAAACGGAAACAGGCTACGACGGCAACGGCAGCTACTCAGAAACGCAAAGCCAAAACGGACGCGCATGCTAATTATCGCGCGCTGAAGATTCGGGGGAAAGGCTCCCATGCGAGGGGTGGCGGGAGGCGGTTTGGGAGGAGGAGATGACGTGACAATGGTAATTGTTTGCATGGGATGGGATGAGATATTATTAGACTAGTTGGGGGGAGTTCTACTAGTGCGGCCCATAAGAGGGGCCGGGTATATTATATGCTTTTTTGTATAGACTATAAACTGTGGAGTATGAAGTTAGGGCAGAGAGCCAAGGTGGTCAGTTAAACGAGTTTTGAAAGAGAAAACAATTTTTTTAACTTGGGAATGAATATAGCCAAAGGAGCAAAAAACCCGAGTCAAAAAGTTTCTATCATAATATACATGTGCGATGTAGCAGCCTACCCATTTATGAAACATCTTTACCCCCTTTACGCCTCGCGCTATGCTGGTTCGAAATCATAAGACAAAATTAAAAAAGGGGACTTGCACCGTACCTAACCTCAACTTGTCACGTTTTAGATGCTCCTGATATCAAAACCGTGAAAAGTACGTAAGGGCTGCTCCGCAATCCACTGAAACGAATTCGAATCGAATCAACCCCCCAACATATATCTATTAATCCGGTTGATACCTATCACGCGCCCGCTGTATCCGTCTCGCCCGAGCGGCGGCACTATCAAAACGCCCCCTATCCTCCGTGCTCGTCGCTTTTGAAACCCTCCCACGCGGCCACGATCGTCCACGGTCTCTGCCCCTGTCCCTGTCCCTGACAGTAAAAGGCGTGTTTGACAAAGACCGGGTCAGTGTACGCGCATCCGCATGCCTACCCAAGCGCGACTCCATGTCCATGCGCGCTGCCGAGCGCCCCTCGTTACCATCATCGACATCATCATACTGCACCGCCCGATCCCAATCCGTCAATGAATTATACGGACTCCGCAACCATGCCTGCAACTCATGCAGGAACAACCGCGCATTTTTGCGCCCGATGAATTCCCGCAATAGTTCCTCCGCCTGTCCGCTGCTGCCTTTGACATCCACCGTGCGCAGAATTGCGATGATGTATTCGAGAAGGAATTCGGCATTGTTAGCTGCGCGGTGTCTGCCTGCCCCTGCTGGGGCGGTGGTGGAGGAGGGAGAGGAGGAGGAGGACTCTGTATCGCTGGTCGGGTTCAGAAACGCGAAGACCTGTAACTCGCGCCGGATCCATTTTCGCGCGCGCGAGACGAGGTGATCATCTTGGTTAAAATGTTGAGGGGTGAGTTCGCGGTATTGCGAGAGTCGGTTGGTGCCTACCCGTCGGGAGTAGAGTTGGTGGCGGTATATGTGCCGTCGGCGGATTACTGGGTCGTCTGGGGCAGGGGTGGTTGGAGGGTCTCGCCGGGGCCGATGGCGTGGAGGACGCGGGAATCTCCTAGGGTGAGGGTGTGCTCCTGAGGCACTCTCTCGACTTGCAGTAGTAGTTGGAGTGTGTGATGGAGGTGGTAAGCGGTATACTCTTTGGCCGGAGGTGGAGCCGATTTCGGTCTCATATTTCACGCTTGTGACAGTTGCTTGGCCTGCAAAACGTAATTGTATTAGTTAGCTATCAGTGCCACATGTACGGAGTATATAGTTGATTGTCCACATACACAATGGACAAGCAGGACGCTGCTGTAGCCAGCTTAGGAGACATAAAAAGTCGAAGCTAGCATGCTTGCAGGGCTGCGCGGCTGCTGCCTCGGTGATCTGCTCGAGACAGATCACGCAAGGATTAAGGTGGACGTCATCACTGTTGGACTGGGTGTCAGCCACCTCATCTAGGGTTTTGCGGAGGATTTCCTGCTGCAAATCGACATCCTGTGCCATGGGAGACAAAAACACCTGCAACTCTTCGATATCGTCAAGATGTTTTTCTTGATATCGAATGTCTGGAATCAAGAGGGAGGAGGACGTTGATGAGTAAGCAGGATAAGACTCGTCCCTTTTTGGCTAGTGAAACCACGTGATCGACCAGATAGGCAAGAATGCCGAGGCCGATCTCCAACTTGCAAAATTACCCAATCCGGTAATCATGGCTAACCATCCGGCATCAAACTTCAACCATCTTCAACACGGCGGAGACGGACAGCGGCAGACCGAACAGATCCTCGCTGCAGCACTGTGTGGTATATCTCTCCACCTCGCCCTTCCTGTGCTATATCATGTGATGCTGAGATCTGCTAGAGCTGTTGTTTCCGCACGATTCGCAAAGTATTCTAGGATGGCTACTCCGATGGTGAGCGGGCCCTTGCACAGCGAGGGCCGAAAATCTACATATACCACTACGGCGCTCAAACGATGGTCATGCCAACGCGGTGGCGAACTACCTGGTAGGAGCTTGCTCATCACAAAAACTCGTTGCTGTTCAGACTCACAAAACTAATTAATTGTGGCATTCATTCATAGCTGTCGCCCAGGTCAAAGCCATCCATGTCTACGATTTTGATAATACCTGTACGAGCCCGCATTTATATTCCTCCTTGAATGGAGAACCCCAAGGCTGACTAGATGTTACTTCCTCTTCTCAGTATTCTCGAGTCCCCTTCCAAACCCGCAGCTATGGAACGGCCCAACGATTGGTTTTCTTTCTACCTACGAATGTTTTGCTAATGGTGGTTGGTGGCATGATCCCAACATTCTTGCGGCTACAGGAAAGGGCATGGAAGTAGAGGAGACTACAGGGTGGAAGGGATGGTGGAATGAGCAAATAGTACGTGTACCAACATTAATATTGATACATACGGAACACCACTACTTACACATGTTTCAAACAGGTACAATTGGTGGAGCTTAGCATGCAGCAAAAGGATGCACTTACTGTTCTGCTCACTGGACGGGCAGAAGGTCCATTCGAAAACATTATCAAACGGATGGTGAAGAGCAGAAAACTAGACTTTGATTTAGTCTGCCTAAAACCAGAAGTCGGCCCCAATAGCCAACGGTTCTCCTCAACAATGAACTTCAAGCAAACTTTTCTGGAAGATCTAGTTCTCACCTACAAACATGCCGATGAGATCCGAGTATATGAAGATCGGATTAAGCAGTACGTTCTATCCGTTATTATTATTTTACTGAACCAAAATCTCACCCTTGTGTAGTGTTAAAGGGTTTCGCGAGTACTTTGAAAAGCTCAATCGATCTTTACAACTTGGCCCACCCTCTACCCCACGGAAACCCATTAATGCCGAAGTTATTCAAGTTGCTGAGGAGGCTGCTTTCCTCCCCCCCGTCGCCGAAGCCGCTGAGGTCCAGCGGATGATCAACTCCCATAATAAGGTTTTAACTTCGACGTCGGGTAATACAACCAAATCGCCATACGGACGGTTAAGGATAAAACGCACAGTTTTCTTCACAGGGTATCTCCTATCCAATACAGATTCGTCCCGTATCATAAATTATGTTTTAAACCCATTGATACCTCCTAATATGCCCGATTCGAACGATATTAAGTACATGGCCAACTCCATCCTGATTACGCCGCGCCCAATATCAAACTCCATTCTTGATAGAGTCGGCGGCATGGGGAAGACCGTGCGCTGGCGAATCACCGACACAGGCGTGTTTGAAAACAAACTATGGGCCGCTAGGGTAACACCAGTCCTAGACTCAGAAATCATCTACACCGAAAACCCAGAGCCACTCATGGTCCTCGCCATGCGCAAGGGCGCACGGCCCGCGGACGCGAACCGGATCCGTAACTGGCAACCTGTCATAGAGGACAACGCTCTCGTCTTCGACGCAACCGTCGGGCAGAAGATGGCGCTAATGATCGAAGAGGAACACCCGGATGAAGGCGAGTGGGAGACGCTACCGAAGAGTAACAATAAACGTAGACTTGTCCAGCAAAACCTCCGGGATGACGAAGGCGCGCCGCTACCGTCGTACTTGAGGGACTGGAACAACAATAACAACAACAGCCCAAACAACCCTAACTTGCGAGACCGCGAGCCGGTTCCCCGCAATTACGCGCCACATCACCATGTTCATGTACCCCATGGTCCTAGTCATGGCCAGCAAGAATTCCCACCTTACCATCGGAACAATCCCCCCTATTCACGCCATCATGGCGAGGGCGGCGTTGGCGGTGGCGGTGGCGGTGGCGGTGGAGGTGGAGGTCGACACTATGGAGATGAAGGAGGAGCTCCCCCTCGCCGCGGTGGAGGCGGCGCAGGCTCTAATTATCGAGGAAGTCGCGGACGTGGTCGCGGCGGACGTGGACGGGGACGTGGTCGTGGAGGAGGAGGGGGTGGTGGGCGAGATGGCCCACCTGGTTCCCATCAATATCGGTCACTAGATGACCATGCAGCCGGCGGCGGCTCGGGCGGCGGCGGTGGTGGGCATGATGGGCATGGCACGGGTGATGAGAGGGGCTTTGGAGGGGGTGGGGGCCCGGTTATGAATTATTGATCTCTGGGTACTACTGCTTTGCTTTGTTTTCCTCCTACACAAAAATTAATGGGTTTGTTCGATGATCTTTCTTCATTTTTCATTTCCTTTGCATTGTCCCATTACGTATACTATTCTCTACTATTCTTTCTCCACTACGTATGAACTTTCAACTCAGCCCCCTTCCCCCCCCCCCCCCCCTCCCCCATCCAAATCCATATCTCCGAGCGCAAAAAAGCCCACACCCTCGATTTTCTGCTTCCCTCTTTTTGAAGTCCGAGTTCGTATGAAATGTCTTTCCTATTTCCTTTTTTCTCCTATGTATATATATATCTTGTTCTTCCTCGTCCTCTTCTCCTATTTGTTTTTTAACTATCTCATATTTTCCAATATTTATATAGCTTCTTCATAGCTTAACTATCAACGCTGCCTTTAAGTTATATATATTCCACCCAAACAACAACCACTTAAAACTTATTTGTATAAATAAGACTAAGAAATAACAGAAAAGAAAAGAAAAGAAAGAACAGAAGCAGAAGCACAACACTAAACGAGCGCCCTTGTTGTGCTGAAATGCTTCCAATTCCCTTCTTGGAAATAATAACACTTCCGGGCCAGATTGTGTCGAACGGATACTCATGGACTAATTTTTATGTATAGGTGGAAGAGGTCAGAAAGAAAGAAAGAAAGAAAGAAATATGGCGGGCACCAAAGTCGTAGAGTCTTAAAGAACTACAGCCAAGTTAAAAAAAGGGGCCCGCCGGGAGAAAAAGGGGCCAAATGTTACATACAAAAAATTGTTTTGTACAGGTGGTTAATCACACATATTTTACACGGCATCTGATAAGCAGTTAAAAAAAAATTTCGGACGTTTCCCAGCTCTTTTCATTTATCAATTCAGTTCAAAGCCAGGTAGATAAATGGCTTTCCATTCCATATTCCATGTTGTTCATGCCCATTATTCCCGTTCCATAAATCATTCCCATCAATGTATTCATCACATCATCGACCCAACCAACGTTGCCCCTTTTCAAAAAAAAAAAAAAAAAGAAAAGAAAAGAAAAGGTAAAACAAATGACAAGAAAAGTACAAAATCCGCCAATAAATCTAAAACAGAAAATGACAAAAAAGAAAACCCAAACCCCAATAAACAAATAAAAAATATATCAGCCATCCGTCAAACTCGTCAACAAAAAATAAAATAATCATTTTCCCCCAACCCCCAGGGGAAAAAGAAGGGGGAAACCCACCCCCCCCCGGGGGGTTTGGGGGGGGTTTTTTTCCTTTTTTCCCACACAAAAAAAAAAAAGAGGAGGGTGGGGGGGGGGTGAAGATAAAAAAAAAAAAAAAAAAGAGTCAGACGTGAAGGGGGAAAGGAGAGGGGTTTGACAGACTCCCGGGTGTGGGGGGGGGGGGTGGTAGAGATGTTTTGCTCACGGCCCGCGTGTCTTTTCTCCTCTCCTCTCTTCTCAGGGTGGTGGTTGTTTTG